GAGGGCTTAGGCTGCTGTGAGCTTTTCAGGGTTTCACCAGTGAGATTAATTCAGATTCAAAGGAAAACTCAGTAAGTTCAGAGGGTCCCCGAACAATATCCAGTATCCTAGAACTGGGTTGGTATCCTTGGAGTTTGGAAATGGATGTTTTGAAACACGAATTCCCCTTGATTCTTGCAGTGTCAGGAGGGAGAAATAAACTTTTTTGTGTTTTGTTTAAAATGATAATCTTCTTGCTTGGCCCAGGCACCTCCCATCTTATCTGATCCCAATGCGTTCAAGAGCCCAGAGTGTTGGGATACAGCTGGGTGGATCTTGGACAGTCAAAACATACTTGACAGGATTGCCGTGATGAATAAATAGTGTGCCTCTGGGGTGAGACCCTTCTTGCAAGGAACGTTTAATTAGTTGTTAAGTATGGTAATCTCTGGACTTTCCTGCTAGATGGGAGGGATTGAATTGGTTGTGTTTCTAATACTAACTTTTTTTGGATGGCGTGGGAATACCAAAACTATGGTTTTTAATTTCGGTTGCTTTGAGAAGAAAGTGTACAAATCTGACATTTCGAGGATAGTGTGAGGCAGAGCTGGCATCCCCGCGTGTCCTCAGCAGTGGCCTTCAGCTTCATTCAGCCTGCCCGAAAGTGGGAACAGGCAGGCAAAGTGAGGCGAGGAGAGAAAGAAGAGGGTGGGGCAGGAAAGAACGAAGGAGAGGGAGGCCCAGTGAGGGAGATGACCTGACAGTCACCGTCTTCCCATGGCCTGACTGGGTCAGCCAGTTCGGTGTAGTGGTTAGGAGCGCGGATTCTAATCTGAGAGGGCTAGGTTTGTTTCCCCACTCCTCCACACGCAGCTGCTGGCATGACCTTGGGTCCGTTACAAGTTCTTCTTTCAGAGCTGTTCTCTCAAGGTCAGTTCTCGAAAGAGTTCTCTCAGTCCCACCTGCCTCACAGGGTGTCTGTTGTGGGGAGGGGAAGGGCAAGGAGAATGTAAGCCACTCTGAGACTCCTTCAGGTAGTGAAGGGCGGAGTATAAATCCAATCGCTTCTTCTCTTCTTCAGGGAACATAGCGGGAGAGGCGGTTTTGAAGATGTGATGGTCCCAGACCGCACAGGGCTTTAAAGGTTAATACCAGAGCCTTGAACTTGATCCAGTACTCAACTGGAAGCCAATGCAGCTGGTGGAGCACAGGCTGTATGTGTGCTCACCCTGCTGTCCCAGTAAGGATCACGTGCAGCTGCATTTTGAACCAGCTGGAGTTTCCGCATCAGTCTCAAGGGTAGCCCTGCGTAGAGCGAGTTACAGTAGTCCAGCCTGGAGGTGACCATTGCATGGATCACTGTGCCTAAGTCACCAGGGGGAGAGATAGGGGGCCGATTGCCTGACCTGCCGAAGATGGTGAAAGGCTGATCCGGCAACGGTCGTGACCTGGGCCTCCATTGAAAGTGAGGCATCCATGGTCACACCCAGACTCCTCACCATCGACACTTGGGCTAACAGCACCCAGTCAAGGGTGGGGAGCCGGATCCCCAGTTCCGTCCCCCCACGGCTCAGGCACAGGACCTCCGTCTTAGATGGATTTAATTTCAGTTGACTTGATTCAGCCAATCAGCCACGGCCTCCAGTGCCCTAGCCAGAACCTCTGAGGTGGTATCTGAGTGGCCTGGTGACAATCCAGGCCAGACCTCCAGACCAACTGGGCGAGAGGACACATGTAGATGTTAAATAACATAGGGGAGAGGATCGCCCCCTGGGGGTTGCCACATACCAGTGGGTAAGATGGTGAAACCCTCTCCCCAAGCACCACTCTCTGTCCCCGACCTTGGAGAAAAGTGATAAGCCATTACAAGGCAGATTCTCGTATCCCTGTTAGCCAAATTGCCTTAATTTCTTATCAATATGGGGGAAGTTATGATTATTAACTGATCAGCCCGACTTTGACATTATGGCTAGGAACACCATATGAATTACACCAACCTGTATATGAATCAAGGAGTATTCAATTGGGAAGGTTTGTGACCATATGAAGGCACACTTGAGGTTTGATGTTTGAAAAAGACGCTTCGAAACGAATATCAACTCCGGAGGAGTTCGTCCACATCAGTGTACCATACCATTGGATTTAAGCATCTGTAAACATATATATTATGGACTATATGAACAAATATTTTGTACTTGTTTCCATATTATAAGCTTTACATGCACAGATTGCAGTAGCTCTATTTGTTATTCATCATTACCATACTGCAAAAAACCCCTATACCTTTAAGTCAAGCAACAACAGCAGCACTGACCCACCTTGATCCAGGTGTCTCCATGAGGGCAACCAGTGCTGTCTCTGTCTCATAGCCAGGGCAGAACCTGGACTGAAATGAATCTAGGGATATGATCAGTCTAGGACATATAACCTGGATTTTGTCTCAGTGACTCCCTGAGTAAAACACGTATCATAAAGCAAATGAAGGCTTTACTAAAGAATTCAAGAAAAGGTATAAAAACAAGGCATATAGTGGTAGTGTATAGAACGCCTGCTCAACTATCCTATATGATCAAAGGAATGACATCCGATTGTTGGCATTGTAAAAAGGAAAAGAGATATTATGTACATCTGTGGTGGGAGTGTTCTAAGGTGGTTAAATTCTGGCAAAAGGTCCTGGAAAACGTGGAGTTATCAGGGGAAATATTATTCATGGGAATTTTAGGGAATTATAAAATAAATCCTATCAGGATCTATTTAAAGCTATGGTTTTAGCTGTCCGTGTGGTTATGGCGCTTGGCTTGAAAGATGCTACAAAATGGACTATAGACAGATGGAATGGTTACTTATATGAATGGGTACGGTCGGACATATTAACAATATTAAAACAGGAAACTAGGTGAGGATAAGATTGTGGGAGTCAAGAAGTGGTGGTTTGAGTATATAAGATGGGTAAAAGCAGGGGGGGCAATAATGATATATTGGTTAAACTCCAAAAGGTGTGCTTATTTTCACAGATATAAAATAAGAAATTATTGCTGGTCGTTTTGGGGGCGGGGGAGAGGAAAAGGGAATGGGGAAAGAAATATTTGATGTATGGAGGTATGTAATATATGCTATGTTATATATTGTTTGAGTTATATTGAAGCAGGATTAAATACTTCAATTAAAAAATCTACTCTCAAAAAAAAAGAGGCATATAGTGGTAGTAAAAATGCACAGAAAAACAAGAAAGTTAACTTGCTATCTTTTGCTGGAGTCCTAGCACCACACGGTTCTTGAAGCAGAGAGTTCTAGAGCATACTACAAAGATCTTCCTGGCTGCATGGAGCAAAGAGTAAGGCTAACACTTCTCACCGTATTTATAGAAAAGAAATGCACGCCATAACTTCCTGGCCTCAACCAATCACTCGGCAGTATCCATGGTGACTTTCAGGGTAAGAGCAAGTTCCCCCACACACACCAGTTTCACAGCTGAACTATCTGACCCTAATCAGCAGGCCTGGATGGACGACCTTGGCCAATATCTGCTAGTGTTTTTGGTGACTAGCTCCAGCTGTAAACCAGAAGACGGTCCAGTTAGCTGCAACAGGCTGGAAAATTCCTTTAGGATGGTCTGTGTCTTGACAGCAGCTGATTGGAGGATGTATCTTTCTGTGTTCCCAAGCAACCAAACCAGTAAAAAAAAAAAGCCCTAATACATAGATAACGGGTGCGAGCCCATAGCTTTAAAATCTGAATGCGGGTTCAGGGTGTTTATTGGAACTGCAACTGCTTCAGTGGCTGTGATGGAAGACCTGCTCTGGGAAAGGGGGAGCAGACCTTGACAAAGCCGCCTTCTGCTTTGGGAGCCACCCCCAAAACTCCTTTCCACTAACCTTTGCTTAGTTTTGGAGTTTTATATTTTCATGACCATACTCCCTACTCATGGCTACCACAAATCCTAATTTGAAACTCTTCACAGTTCTCCATTTTCTTTAAAGCTGCAACAAAAGCATTGCGGTAGATCAATGGATACGAAGTACACCTGGTGGTCACAGCAACCAAAGGCTCACCTGTATTCCTTACCTAAGGAAACAATTGTACTTCTCTTGAGAATCACCAGGAAGCACTTAAAGTAGATGACTGATGAGAATATTAGGTGAGAGGACAAAGTTTCTAGGGGTCATGGTGCCTGGGATTTGTCAAGCCCCGGTGGAGAAGGTCTCTGCGGACTCTCCACTGACTCCTTAGCATCGGGCACGGTCTCTTTCTCTGCTGCTCCCCTCCCTCCCTCCCTCCAACAGGATTCCAGTTCTGTAGGTTGTCCCAGAGCTGGAAGAATCACAGGGCAAGGCTGGGCAGAGTCGCACCCTAGCAAGGACATGGCAGTCAAAGACTTCCAACGAGGATTTGGATGGTCCCTATCAAGACGATTTATTGATTTATTTTTGTTTAAATCACTTTTATGCCGCCTTTCCACCCAATCAGGGTCCACAACATTAAAATATTTTAACCAGTAAAATACAGTTAAAATGTAAAATTCAATTCAAAACACATGAACAACGACATTACAAGGCGGGCCATTCACTGTTGTTGGGGTATTCGAGAT